TATATTCGAAAGGACCAGAAAACCTTCTCTTAATATCACATATCTAAGTGGACACCCCCGAACACGTTACAAAACTAACTCAAATGGATGACAATAACTCAGAACCAACTCGCTGCACAACTCTTTGCACTGCTGTTATCGCGTTTGAAGACGATGAACCCAAATTATATTTTTTCATCATTGACCGTGTCCAGTTGAGACGTCCTTGCGATAACCACTTGCGATAATATTAACAATTCAACAATTTATTAGAATTGTTTTTATCACCATATGGGTAACGGTAATCGGTATAAAAATGTTGTAGATTTCCCAGTTCGAAATCGGTTACAGTGAAATCATTAACCGTTACCTACTGCGGCGTATAATATCATTGGAGTAAGAAAACATGTTATATAATATTATGCACATAAATATGTACATCTGATCTGATGGTTATTATAATTGATATTATTGACGATGACGGTCGACCGGTGCACACACACGTATCGGACATAAAACGTGTTTCGCTCTGACTTCGTTATCTTCTTGTGTTTTTACTATCAATACGTCACGCCATTATTGTTAAACGCGTATAACGCTCGCGAAAAATCAACGATACAGTAGGCTGCTCGTATATCACTCTGGGCTTTCGCGATTGTTCGTTTCGAGAATAAATTACATGATACCTACATAAGGTGTGCACATAAATACACGGTGTGTAGTGCCGACGCATACGCGCACGCATTGCTGTCGAATAACCCCCTTGCAGCGCTACCCAAACCGCCACGGTCTGAACCCAAAATCCCGCCGTCTCTCTCACTCGCAAGTATTGGCACCTTTGCTAAAAAAAAAGTTTCCAGAAACGATAGTTGAGGAGGAGGAGCGGTAACTCAATAATTAACGGTTTGCCGAGAAGTTCGACCGTCTAATGAATTTATGTAAGTCCGCTGCTGCCGCTGCTGCCACTGCTCGAGCATTAATGTTTTCGGTTCGGGAATTTATGGTTTTCCGCAGCGGATAATAACAATTATTATTCCTCGTTTTTGTTGTGTTTTAAGCTTTGAATTGATGGTGCCCATTAAAACGACGGGGGGGCGGGGGAAAGAGGAAGAGAGTGAGAAAGAGGAAGAGAGAGAGAGAGAGAGAGACGGACAAGAACGGAGGAAGGACAAATACTGTATACACACCCTATTGGCGGCAAGAGAAAAGGTGTAGTGGATAGTATGGGCAATGAAGTGGGGGAGAAAAAAAACAATCGAAAGAAAAGCGAAATCACCTCGACAATTAAAAATGACTGAAACTAATAAATTTTCGGAGCCGAAAACAAACGTCTTTTTAGAGTGTTGTCGGCGTTGTAGTAGTAGTAGTAGTAGTTGTATTAGTTGTCGCTGTTGTGCACAGGAATCGACTATTTCTTTCGCCATCCATTCTATCCGCATTCACTGTTTTCAAGCTTCAGTCCCTTCCGCCGAAATGAATACGTATTTTTTACTCGCCTTCGCTTAATGAAACGAAATGAAAACGAAACAAACAGAAAAAAATAATTCAGACGCGCATTTTATCGGCCATTCCGTCGCGGCGAACAGATGCAGCTGCGTCTCTATGTATATAATGTATTTATTTATGTACGCGTCGATGTTTTTAAATAATTCACCTACCCCGCGAATTCTGTTATTACACTGCGCGCAGCGGTCGGTGCGAGAGGGGTTCTATTCGAATTTACGTTTCGTTTAATGTGTTTTTTTATGTACTGCATTATTTTGAAGGAAGATTTAGGTAATAACCGTTTAAGTTACCAGCAAGAAAATAAAGAAAATTAAAAATAAAAAGAGGAAAAATAATAATAATCGACAGCACTCGTTCGTTTTTTCCTTTTTCGAGCGCAGAATTATTGCTCCGTTCCAAACATAGAAGTACACAACGGACGCGAGCGAGCAACGTAATCGTTTTCGGAAATCAGCTCGAACGAACGCGATGAATAAAATATTCATTTTAGATAAAATTTATGCAAATAACGAGTTATCTTAAAAATAATGTACGATATTATTTTTATCTAAACACATTTAGGTACCCTCTCAACTCTTGCGACCATCCTGATCGTTTCATGAATCGTAGAAACTAATATGTGTTTTAATATACTCGTATTATTGGAATTTGCATATTATACACGTGTACTATACAGTCGAAGAGAAATCACACAGCGATTACATTAGACCGGGCGCATTATTTAGTAAGAGTAGTAGTACCTAATATACGTGTTCTACGTGTAAATCTGCAGCCGTATTTGCACAACAATCGTAAATTGTATCGAAAGCAATGACGTCGGCATTTATATCGAGACCGGTTCAAGACCAACCGTAGTTTTATAATATTTCAGTCGGTATACGCGATGTCTCGTGGTGGAATTTTATTTCGGGTTCGTGTTGTATATGTCCCTTTGAATGCGCGCGACATTTTTCGATAGGGCTTAGACAGTATCTGTACCCCGTACACCGAAATCCGTTTTTGTCTGTTTCCCCGCGTGTTCTGCGCAAAAAACAAACGTTCTCGTGCCGTAGACCTGTCGTCGTAATGCAACAGTATCGACTGTTTTCGATTTTCGAACAAAAAAACCGTCGAGCGTAACACGATGTAATAATATGATTACGTGATTAACCTGCTAAAGATCGTTCAATCATATTATACTATGCCGTACGGATCGTGGACCATATTATATATAGTTAAAAAAAGCTCTGGTTAGGTGGATTTACAAAAAAAAAAAAAAAAACATAAATCGTTTTCTATCACTAGTTCGATAGTATACTATTCGAAAATTTACAACGGTAATGGATTTGGGAACAAAAATATTATTGAATTCAATCTATAATTTCGTTGTCAACTAATTTATAAATTCTTACCATTACTTTTTTTGATTTGTATTAGATATATGTAGTTATTTTAATTTATATTGAATTTAGATTACATTATTGGGACATTTGATGACGATTTTAAGATTTACAACATACGATTGAAAGGATTCAACATGGAAATACGTACGTATACACGTATTATGAACATCGTAAATGAAGCTAGACGAGTATAGAGACGATAAGATCATTTTGTTGTTAATAACACCTATCTACGCATATCAAATGTTATAGGATTCTTAATAAAAAAAAATAAAACACTAATTGAGAGAGGAAATGATTGCGCAAGTGGTACACGCAATTAATAAAACTTATTCATCTCCTGTTTGTGAACAATGTTTACTTGTAACACGATGACCCCACGCGTCGCCATGATATATGGAAATGACAACAAAATAAATTGCAAAGAATGAAATATCAAAATGAATAAAAGTCCAGTTTTATTACGGTTCGGTTGTTTGGTCCGGAGCAGACGGGGGGTGAGCGGGGAGAGAAAAGAAAAAAAAATACGTACGAAAAACATAACGCCGAACTCAGCGGGGGAGTAGGTGGTGAGTGGGGCGAGTCGACACGTCATGGGAACGTGCGCGCCTTTTCACCGCGGAAATAACAGGCCGTGGCGGCGGCAGCGGCGATGACGTAACGGACAAAAAATATAATGCCATTCGGGAGACTCGTACTGCACAATCGTTGTGGTGCTGCGGTTGTCGTTAACAACGTTTACATTTTTTCGTGCCGGTCGAACACGAAAAACTACATCGTATTGTCCGAAAGACGTCCCCCACCTTATCGGTTCTACCTCCCCTGGACCGTAGAGCTGAAAACTGCGGAAAACGGGCGCACACATGCGGATACAATGATCCAACACCCTTGTTAAAGCAGCCAAGACTCACAAAACGTTTACGAAAAACGAACACGTCGCACAATACTTTTATCGCATAAAACATCGTATCCGACCATCGATTGAAGGTTTTTTGAAAAAAACATCCATGAATCCGCTATGCCTCCGATACTGTTCCAGGCACTTACAGTACCGTTAAACTTGCATGAAACTTTTATGCCTCGCATACCCTACTAAGTATCATTGGATAATAACGCTGTACGGGTAATCGAAATTAATGTACGCTTTCGAATATAATTTGATCGATGACACAATAATATTATTGGAATCGTGGAAAAAATAACAATAATATCCTAATTGTACGGTTCAAATAATAACAATCTGCGGATATTTCTAATTTCTGTACTTATCGGACACCTCTACGGTACGAAAAAACGTATCGTATTAATCCTCTGGTGTGTGTTCAGTTCGACCTCAGATGAATTTTGCTGTACACACACGCTATTTATAATATTATCTTATAATTGTAAAATACAATTAAATATAAACCCGTCCACCCGAACGTAAAACGAGAAACGTATCCTGCATAAGTTCTCGTTAAAAGTTCCTGTATAGGTATCCAATGTATACGGTATATTTTATTATGTTTTAATCAACGGACTAAGATATATGTATATACGAAACGAAATCGCCGCCGCGTGTTAAACAATTTAATTTATATTTTTCTCGGAATACTAAAAGTTTTCCGCACGATAAATCTAAAAGACGCGCGCGATAATGGCGTTCTCGGGGTCGTAGTTTATGGTAAATGGGAAATGGCCCGATGGGTCAACCCTTTTGGTCGACTGGACACACAGTTTTTTCGACGTCACAAACGATCCGGGTCCGTAATATTTCGCAGTAGTGCGTCCGTTCGATTACATTTAAATTAATAGCGATCGAAACGATACGGAATTGGCGAATATAATCGCCACGCACAGATAAAGTCACAGCTTATATAGCGTTTACAACCGACGTAATCCGTAGACGCATGCAGCAGAACCTCTATAGCTTGAAACCTTTATCGAATTAAAAACAAAACAATTGGACCGTTTCGTTTTAAATATTATGTATTATTATAACAACGGAAAATTCTAAAAACCGAAATATCAATTATATTTATATTGTTTGCATTTTCCCAGCCAGATTTCGGGCCAGTCATCGATACGTTACATAATATGTATAGTATGATGTATACAACATTATAATTATTATATTGTGCGTGATTTACTTACGGGAACGTAGCCTATTGGTTTAATGGTTTATCTGTAATAGTTTCTTCGTTTTGATTTCCTCGGGAATGAGGTTCAGGATCAAACAATTCCTGTAAGCAAACAAGCAAAAAATATATTAATAACGAACTGGTAATATAATTTGTTTCGGATACACGCGTATAATAGCGAGTAAGTCACAATAAATACTCGTCCAGCAGACCTGAGAAAATATGGTCCGTAATCCATAATATAATGTATGCATTAAAATACGGATATTATACTATTATGCCGTGATATTTTCTTCTCGATCACAGTTCACATTCCGTAGTGTAGAAAAGATGTTAATCTATTCGAGTAAATCGCAATCACTTTTCATAATTATTATAATCCACTATTTAGTATTGAATTTTACGTTAGAGCAACGGTAATACTATTAATGTTATTTACAATCTCATATATGCATAAGATATTGAGTATTATTTTAAACTGCGGCCGAAATCGCATAACTGTACTGTGATATCGTATATCATTATCATAAATGAAATATTTCTCGAAACCATAAAAACATGATTTCTTCACCATTACTTGTTTTTATATTTAACGATATCGTTGATACGATCGAAGAGAAAAAAACGTATTTCCATAGAATGAAATAACAAAAAAAAGTAAAAAGTCCCTCATAAAATAACTTTTAACGGAAACTATATATATGTATGTGCATTCACGAAATTCAAACGAATATACTATTACTATTATTATTACTAAGTCGGTTGTGTTGATATTTAAATTTAACCATGGCCGACAGAACTCTACCCTATTCAGACCATGTCCCTGCGCTGTCTCGTAAGTGTTGTCACAAAACGTTAAAGGCGACGAAGGAGAGCGTTTAAATTTGAATCGCAAACAAACAGAGGACTTCGGACCGTTATTTGAAAGCTGTGAAAATCGTAGTTATATCGTACACATATATTTATTGCATTTATACAAAATCAGCATGCGGACGTGCGGTTTTCACGAGTACCGTAAAAAGGAATCGTTAATATTCGCATTCAACCCCATACAGCCACACGTGTGTATCAAATTTAAAAACGTTTCTGAGGAATAAAAGCTATACACAGACGACCACGCCCAAGTCTGAATAGAGAACATCGTACAATGTCCAAGATTGGCGATCGTGCTCTCGGACAGGTCCGCTCCTTTTCACATACATATTATATATATAAATAATAATCTCACCGAAACGTCCGATGATGACAGGCAAGCTTTCATGGGGTTGGGGGGGATTAAGGACGAAGCGGGCATTATCCAATTAGTGAAAACGAAAGAAGTGATGAGCTTTATGTGAAAGGACGGGTCGAGGGAAAAGTTGAAATAAGGAAAGAAGAGAGAGGGGGACATAGGATAAAGCGGGAAATATTCGCTACCCGAACCAGGCCGGGTCGATCGTTGGTCGCGGTTCAATATTAAACATTAACTTTTCTGCTCGGCAACGTTTTTGGGTAACATACGCACACGAATACACACGTGCGTACCAACCCTGTATATATACACACACACAGTCAATGTTCTATATCTCCTATACTCGTACAAATATATGTATATGTGTAGTATTAATGGTTACAAATAAACCTTAACTCGGTCGAGACTAATGAAGACAAATTACAACGGTGTACTGTGTATTGGTTTGTTGTAATAGCGGACGGCGGACGGAAAAACGGCGTGCATATGTGTAGCAGTTGTAGAATGGTGGCGAGGGAAAAATAAAATAAAAACAAAATGGCAAATAGGATTTCAGAAACAAACTTGCAGGCAGATAAGCAAACCACGATTTGTCAGACGGTGAGAGATTCGTTCAGACCATGAGCCGATTACGTTTCGTAGTGCGAGTGTAATATATTTTTGTATACGTATACGCGACTCGAACCTATGCTTTACCAATATAATGTACGCTGAGGGATATAAATGTTTCAAGAACTATGTAGATGTGGAAAAGGTTTGCTTTTTTTAATTTTTTTTTTATGTTTCTTGTTCGATAAAAAAAATCTCCGCTACCGTGATGTCACCACGGACTTGCTCGTAACATGTTGCGTGTACGAGTTTAACGCAAACAGAAATAGTAAACTGTCGTTTTGTCGAAAAATATAATTGCGTAGAACTATGGTACGTACAAGTTACTGTTCGTATCCAATACGTGAAAAACTAATAAACAGACGATGGTCCATTCCAATATATAAGACGGAGCGAGTGTACAACGAACGTACATCCGTTTCCGTACGAAATCAATACATCGTCGTTGTCAAAAAACTTTATTCAAAACCGACCAGTTTTGAATTACTGCGTGAGCAGCAATTGTGTTCATTATTCAGTTTTGGAATTATTAGCGAATTTTGAATGAGCACATAATGCAGGTTTAGATTTGGGCCACCACTCGCGTTCACTACGCTGCCCCGTGATGACTTAGACATATTATCCGATTGACTGTGCGAAAAATAGTTCCTGACAATTATTGTAAACCACTCGAGAAATAAACGAACGTGTATGTGATTTCGTGCTTTTCGAGTTCCTGCAATATTGTTTGCGATTCACCTGCACCTGGTCGGACCAAAGTTATGAACGGTCGACTTTTGGAGAACAGTTGTACATTTATTCCTTTGGGATAGAAGGTTGAAATAAATAAATATTGATTTCATACGTAGATGCACATTTTTACTGTGTACATTTCATGACATATTGTGTGTATTAGTATTAGATATTGAGAATATTGCGATGAAACTAAAAATAATTTAATTAATCGTCTTACGGCGGATATATGGGACGGAAACAAAAGTTTAATGATTTGTCGGAGCGCGGATCATATAATCAGTCACAGTCCAACGGGCCAACTGAACGTATATTATTTAAACACTATCCGTAACCCTTTAAAAATACGATCGTGTGACTGTTATTACACGACCGATCCGAAATGATCGTCATCGTCATTGATCCGTTACACGCGTTCGCCATATGATATACACCGTGGTCGTGATCGCTGTTGTATAGAATCACCTCGACCTATCGACGAACTATTTAACCCTTCGTAAAGTCGCGTCACGGCATGCACACACAAACACATTTTATATAAACAGGCACACTACCACTTCTCATCGTGCCGACGTGCTGAAACAATACATCTTGGCAGCAGCTTGCGATAATATTTATAATATAATATGTTATATTATAGAAATAAAAAAACGATTTTTTACTCCTCTGATCCTAATAAAACACTGTGGTACAGTAATTGTAAGACGGCACGCGGGTTCGTCGAGAAAATTTCTCCACGGATCAGAGTTCGCATCACGTCGTTGTACTATCGTTATGTTTAAGGGAAAAATTGCGACAGATTCTCCGTCGTCACGACGGATGTGAATACGTCGTGGGCATCATACCGTTGTACCGCAAAATTTTTCCACACGCTGCAATAATAATATTCCGTATAGATATCTCCGAGGTCTCGGCGAACACGCACGCCCGTTTCTTTAAATGTGTAATATTACCATTATTAACTAATGTGCATTGAATAAAGTAGAGGCTTTAGATTTTAAATACTACCCTTGAGATTTTTGTAGAATGAAATCAAGTGGAAGGTCCTAAATCTTACACATAACTCTATTAAAATGTGTTCTAAGTCGTGTATATATATATATATATATATTGTGTATTCGTAAAATATAATATTAATATCATGCGTAGCAAAAGCATATACCCAGGGCAAAAATTAGACATTTAGAATACATTTGTTTGAGCTAGTGTAGAGTGGAGACCCTTCTACTTCAGCTCAGAAGCCATTAACTGCTGTAAACTACAAATCAATGGTTAAATTAATGTCAAGACAACAAATACAACTAATTTCGTTTTTCGTTTTTATATGTTATTTATGCTAAGTGTTGTATCTTTAAAATTGAATCCGAAAATGAATAACGCTATGTATTTATTAACACCCTGTTTTCCAACACTGCAACCTCATTTCGATGCCAGAAAGGGTTAGTAACACCTTCGAAATATTACCTTCTCATCAAGCGGGTAAAAACTTCGGGGTTACGGATTAAAATAATATAATAAAGTTTGAATATTATGAACCACCCTAACACGCTATAATATAATAACAAAATATACTATGAATAATTCGATGCGCGTGACAAAACCGACAGCGTCGCTACGAGAATTCGATTCGCAGCTTCCTACACCGTCTCAACCTAACCGGATATCCTTCGTTTGTTTCGATTTACGTGTATGTTTGTACGCGCGTATTATACTATTTATTACATACAAATCTGTCGTCGTCGCCGTCGCCATCGACATTGATATTCTATTTGGGTCTCTCCGACTAGAGGGTGAAAATTTTCACAGTGCGTCTGCACCGCATCGAATGCAAACGACCTCATTAATCGGGCATATTTGCGGATATAAATATTTGACCGGTAGATAAAGAGAGACGGGAAGATAATGAGAGAAATGAGAGAGAGAAAGCACTAACGTTTTAAACCCCACCGAGGACCCAACGAAAAGTCTTCAGAAGTAATACAGTCAGCTACGTTAGGTTAATATAATATAATTGGACTTATGAACCTATCCCTGTAGTCGCAGCAATCAACAAATTCGTTTTGCGATAACGACGATAATACCGTTTGCGATCGGTTCTCGTTACGCTGGTACTGCCGTGTTAAGGATTTTCCAGAAACGATCAGCTGTCGGAAAATATGAATTTTTATTTTCACGAATAATTTTACTGTTCGATAATATATAAATATATACCTTTTATACTACACGACGTAGACTATATAGACTTAAATTAAATAAATTATAACATCTAGATAAATCCTAAATCCCAATGAACCTTGACCCTCCACTCCTTAAATAATTAACTGCGTGATACTAACTCAACCATCCACATTGTTCGATCGTGAATTTTTCTTTAACCCTTAACTACTGCATTGATCGTCCCCTTGGAAGGGTCAGAAAGATAAAGCATCCATGTATTTACGTATAAAATGTAAATCCAATGATACTGTTTAAATAAATATCATGCACGAGATATATACGTATATATTGCAGAAGATATTATTATAATGAA